AGACAAATCTAAATTCATCTGTCCCTGGCCTGATAGCTCGGTTTGTTAGTGTGTCATCCTGATATACCAAGGTTGCAGGTTGGATCCCCAGTCAGAGAACATACAAGAATCAACCAGTGAATGCATAAATAGGTGGAACAATAAATTGATCTCTCTCTCTCTCTCTCTCTCAAATCGGTCAATGAAAAATTTTTGAAAAAACTAAAGACCAATCTGATTTCATCTAGACTTCTTTCCCCCATGTGTAATTGGCCACTAATTCTAATAAAAAAAATTTTTTTTTAATCTATGGAGCTCTAACTGGTGTGGCTCAGTGGGTTGGGCATCATCCTGCAAACTGAAAGGTTGCTGGTTTGATTCCTGGTCAAGGTACCTGCCTGGGTTGCAGGCCAGGTCCCTATTTGGGGATGTGCAAGAGGCAACCAATTCATGTTTCTCTCCCTCTTTTTCTCTCTCTCATCCCTTCTTTCTCTAAAAATAAGTAAACAAAAAAATGTTAAATGTATGGAGATTTTCTTGTTTCTATCTTTATCTCATTTGCTCTAGTTGGAATCATTTCTTCCAATGAACAATCGAACATGTTTACTATTTTTTCTGACTCTGGTTGTCCCATCTTTCAGTGGACTCTTCACATAGTTGTTAGCATGGAATGCTGATAATGACATTCTGATCATATCACTCTAGTAATTAAAAGCCTTTTCTCATTCCCCAAGATTTTCAAAATAAAGCCAACTTTCTAATTATGACATTCAAGACCTTATGTGTGACTCCAGTGCTTAACACAGATGTGTTTCAGAATTCAGAAAGTTTTGGGTTTTAGAAAGGTCATATTATATTCATAACACATTATATAATAATATCTTCTATTGGTTCTGGATCAATACTCTAATCAAACACATTAATATTTCCTCATCAAAGAGTATGATTGTTTATACCATGTAAAATAAAGACTATACATAAATTTTTATAAGTTCAAGTCATGTTTTGCTGCTAAACAAGTTATAGGAATATGTTTAGTTTTTAGAGCCTTGTGGGTTTCAGAATTTGAAATGAGACTGTGGCCCTGTAGATGTTCAGTGGTCTGCTGGAGCTGGCTTGCCCCAGCTACAGAAAGCTCATTTTGAACATATCTTCCCAATTCTGCAGTTGGTGACTTCATGTTGGTAGCTTGAAATCAGCACCACAGACATCAGTAAATGCAACAACTCCTGGCCTTTTCTTCCCTGGAGAGCAGGTTGTTAAATGTTACCAGCACAGCACTACAAACACGTATTATGTGTACAGTACATCTGTATGTTTTTACCATTGTGGCAAACCAACTGACTCACTCTATGCAGGGCAAAAGGCTGATGTTTTCAGGGGGCATACAATGGAAAGGCTGAGATAATCAATATGATGGCAACAGAGAAACTGGGAAAAATGGGAACTTTGGAGTCAGACAGACATGGGATCAAATTTTAACTTCATTATTTCCAGATATGTGTGATCCTGATAAATCACTTACTTCCTCTGGGTCTCAGTTTACACGTTTTAAAAATGGGGACTTATGTCTTTCTCTTAAGGTTGTTTTAAGGGTTTAATGAGGTATCATATGAAAAGTGCCTAACATAGAATAAATAGAAAATGTTATTGTTTGGTTACTACAAACCCTTTAAAATAAATTCTGGAGATGTTTCTCTCTGTGGACGCAGCTCTCATTCTCTAACATTCTTAATACACTCACAGTAAATACCATGCAGTTTGCACCTGAATATTCTCTAGTTATTTCATCTTGTGGCAGTTGATTTCCTTAATGAAGGTATCATTCTTGACTTCTCTTGAGCATGTTTGTATAAATTAACTTTGTAGGGCTTTTATTCTATGAAAAACTCTTATTAATAAACTTGTTTTGAGTATCTCTTTTATTGTCCTGCACTGGGTGCTGGTAACAATGAGATTAATCAGACATAGACCCTCCTTATATTCCAGTGGAGTGATAGATAGTTGGGCCTGAAAGCCAACTATTTAAATGCAGTGAAATTAGGAGGCTTTTGTAGTAATCCAGGTGGGAAATGGTGGTGAAATGAATGAGATTAATAGCAGTAGAAATGGAGGAGAAATGGTTCTACTCAAAGTCTGTTGAACTGGACCTAGTTTCTCTCTGTTCCACCCTAGACCCTGGATTTGCCCTGTGGATAGGTAGTGTGCCCTTTATCAAGATAAGATGCTTATCGTGATAAGTATAAGTGCTTGAACAGAGAGAGGAATGAATTTTGAGCAGAAGATGATGGTTCCAGTTTTGGACCATCTTAGTTTTATGGTGTGTATAGAGTATATGAATATCATGACCATATAATTTATTATACAAATTTGAACATTTATGAGAGTGAGATGTACTATATTAATAATTAATCTGGGGCAACAGATATAAACTGGACCTGTCCTGGACAAACCAGGATGTTCTTTACGCAGGTAAAAAAAAACTCAAGCAAAGATTATTAGAGATGAGGCCATCCTGGGAAAATGTGTAGAGTGAAGAGAGCAATAGGTTAAGTCCTGGATAAATTTTTAAAGTTTATTTTATTGATTATGCTATTACAGTTGCCCATTTTTCTCCCCTCCTTCTGCACCCTCGCTTCAGCATTCCCCCCCTTCATTCATGTCCATGGGTCATACATGTAAGTTCTTTGGCCTCTCCATTTCCAATACTATTCTTAACCTTCCCCTGTCAATTTTGTACCTACTATTTATGCTTCTTATTCCCTGTACCTTTGCCCCTATTTTCCCCCTTCCCCTCCCCTGCTGATAATCTTTCATATGATCTCCATTTCTGTGATTCTATTCCTGTTCTAGTTGTTTGCTTAAGTTGTTTTTGTTTCTTAGGTTCAGTTGTTCATTGTTGTTTGTCGTCATTTTATTGTTCATAGTTTTGATCTTCTTTTTCTTAGATAAGTACCCTTAACATTTCCTATAATAAGGGCTTGGTGATGATGAACTCCTTTAACCTGACCTTATCTGGGAAGTACTTTATCTGCCCTTCCATTCTGAATGATAGCTTTGCTGGATAATCTTGGATGCAGGTCCTTGGCTTTCAGGACTTTGAATACTTCTTTCCAGCCTCTTCTTGCTTGTAAGGTTTCTTTTGAGAAATCAGCTGATAGTATTATGGGAATTCCTTTGTAGATAACTGCCTCCTTTCCTCTTGCTCCTTTTAAGATTCTCTCCTTCTCTTTAATCTTGGATAATATAATTATGATGTGCCTTGGTGTGTTCCTCCTTGGGTCCAACTTCTTTGGGACTGTATGAGCTTCCTGGACTTCCTGGAAGTCTATTTCTTTCACCAGATTGGGAAAGTTCTCCATTATTTTTTCAAATAAGTTTTCAATTTGTTGCTCTTCCTTTTCACCTTTGGCATCCCTGATTCAGATGTTGAAATGTTTAAAGTTGTCCCAGAGGTTCCTAAGCCCCTCCTCATTTTTTTGAATTCTTGTTTTTCATTCTGTTCCAGGAGGTTGTTTATTTCTTCCTTTTGTTCCAAATAGTTGATTTGAGTGCCAGTTTTCTTCCCTTCACTGTTGGTTCCCTGTATATTTTACTTTATTTCACTTTGCATAGCCTTTAATTCTTCCTTTATTTTGTGTCTGTACTCAATCATTTCTGTGAGCATCCTGATGACCAGCATTTTGAACTATGCATCTCATAGGTTGGCTATCTCCTCATCACTTAGTTGTTTTTCCAGAGTTTTGATCTGTTCTTTCATTTGAGCCATATTTCTTTCCCTCAGTGCACCAGTCTAGATAAATGTTTCTTCTTTAACTCCTTTGTTTTTGAATTTTCATACAGTTCAATTTTCTGGCTGTTCTGGTTGTTTTTTCAAAAAATGTGTTGTTGTCCTTTTGGTTGTGAAAGGAAGCAAAGCATACATACCTACACCTCCATCTTGGCTGGTGTATAAATTTTTATTAGAGGAAAAAAGAATGTGGCTCTTGAGGCAGGAAGGAAACCTGGAGCTAGTGGCCTCACAGAATCTCAGGGAAGAATGAATTAATTTTCTCTTATCTGTTATTTTAGGCAGGGAATCCATTTGGGGGATTCTTCATCAGATAGTGATAAGTTGCAGTGAGAGATCACATACTTAAAGAAAAAGGATTTTTACGTTTATTAGAATACTATGTTTGAATGATTTATGTATTATGATATAAAACACTCTTAAACACTTTTGTTTTACAGTCATTTGGCCAAAATCTACTAATTCAGAACCAGTTTTTATCTAGATGTCATTTCATGTTATATTTTTTCCTAAATTTATGAGTTCTTTAGTCAAATAGAGTGAATATAATCACTGCAAGCTAAAAGTAAATTTCTAGGTTAAAAGATATAGTACATTTATTCTGTAATATTGAAAGTCATAAAAAGCACTTTTTCCTTCCTTAGAAAATAGAGTTCTTCAGAAAGTCAAGAGAAAAATAGGACAAATGAATATTTTACAAGTTTAGTAGATTACGGTTAGCTGTTTTTTCTTCAGTATTTCATTATGAAAAATTTCAAATGTAAAAAGAAAAGAAAAATTACACCCACTATCTTATACAATTAAAATGTGCATTTATACAATGAAGACTTTGCTATATTTGTGCTATCACATATTTGTTCATCTAGTCATTCATCTGTCCATCTTATTTATTTTTTATGCATTTCAAGTAAGTTGGCTAGTTATTTTACTAAGCAGTTGTCTTTTTTTCTGAATGGTACAGTTAAAATGTTAATACATTTTGTGAAGATGGTATCAACTGACCCTCTTTCTGATTTCTAGAAATCCTAGGTTGCCAATAATTACTGTCAAATTTAGAACATTAAAAAATGTCTGGTAAATAGTGCTAAGCCTGATCAGTGCCTTCTGTCTCAATAGCTTTATAAATGAGACACTTACAACTTTGAAAGTTATCAAAAATAATTTTCAGAGGCCTTTTAACACCAGTTTTTGGTATTCTCACTGATGTTTATCCATACTATATTGTTTTCAGAGTGGAGAGATCAACAGACCAAGTCATCAAGCCAGTCAACATGGCGGCGCTATCAAAATGGGTTGGGAAAATCCCTGCAGATGTTTTACAAGACATGGCGGTGATCGCACCCATGCTTGCCAAACTTGGATATGACCCATATGCCAACCCACCGAACTACGGAAAACCTGACCCCAAAATTCTTGAAAACACTAGAAGGGTAAGTGATATTTTTAAAGGGAATTGAGAAAGCTGAATGTGAAATTCAGATCCTGAAAAGATTATTGTTTTTTAAATTTTGTTTCTTTTTTTATAATCGGAAAATATTTTTAATTAGAAAAACTCTATTTGTAGAATTTTTTATTTATTTTTATTTTCATTATTTTTAAAAATATATTTTATTATTATTTATTTTTTAAATATATTTTATTGATTATGCCATTACAGTTGTTCTATTTCCCTCCTTTATTCCCCTCCACCCTGCACACCCCTCGCCCACCATCCCCCCTTTATGACCACATGTCTCAAGTTCTTTAGATTCTATATTTCCCCTACTATTCTTGCCCTCCCCCCATGTATTTTCTACCTACCATCTATGCTACTGATTCTCTGTACCTTCTCCCCCCTTCTCCTTCTCCTACTCCCCTGTTGCTAACCCTCCATGTGATCTTCATTTCTATGGTTCTGCTCCTGATCTAGCTGTCCTCTTAGTTTGCTTTTGTTTTAGGTATGGTTGTTAATAACTGTGAGTTTGCTGTCCTTTCACTGTTCATGCTTTTTTAACTTCTTTTTCTTAGGTAAGTCCCTTTAACATTTCATATAATAAGGGCTTGGTGATGATGAACTCCTTGAATTTGATCTTATCTGAGAAGCACTTTATCTGTCCTTCCATTCTAAATGAAAGCTTTGCTGGATAGAGCAATCTTGGATGTAGATCTTTGGATTTCATGACTTGGAATACTTCTTTCCAGCCCCTTCTTGCCTGTAAGGTCTCTTTTGGTAAATCAGCTGACAGTCTGATGGGAACTCCTTTGTAGGTGACTGTCCCCTTATCTCTTGCTGCTTCTAGGATTCTCTCCTTCATTTTAATCTTGGCTAATGCAATGATGGTGCGCCTTGGTGTGTTCCTTCTTGGGTCCAACTTCTTTGGGACTCTCTGAGCTTCTTGAATTTCCTGGAAGTCTATTGCCTTTGCCAGATTGGGGAAGTTCTCCTTTATTATTTGTTCAAATAAGTTTTCTACTGGTGGCTGTTCCTTTCCCCCTTCTGGTACCCCTATAATTCGAATGTTGGAATGTTTAAAGATGTCCTAGAGGTTCCTAAGCCTCTCCTCCTTTTTTTGAATTCTTGTTTCTTCATCCTTTTCAGTTTGGTCATTTTTTTCTGCCTTCTGGTCCACTCCTTTGATTTGAGTCCCAGTTTCCTTTTCATCGCTATTGGTTTCCTGTGCAATTCCATTTATTTCAATTAGTTTTGCCTTCATATGTTCCTCTAATTCATGACTAAAATCAACCAGTTCTGTGAGCATCCTGATCGCCAGTGTTTTGAACTGTGCATTTGAATTGAGAGTTTGGGTATTTCTTCATCGCTTAGAGTTATTGGCTCTGGGGCTTTGGGCTGTTCTTCTTGAGCCATGTTTTGCTTTGTTTGCACCTGTTAGGTATGAGGAGCGGAGCCTTAGGTGTTCACCAGGGCGGGGCCACCCAGGTCGCTGGTTTGTGATGCTGTATGTGGGGGCAGGGTCAGAGAAAACTTATTTGAACAAATAATAAAGTTACTGGTGGAAACTTTCTACTAAGTTTCCAGCAGTAGAAAACTTATTTGAACAAATAATAAAGGAGAACCTCCCCAATCTGGCAAAGGCAATAGACTTCCAGGAAATTCAAGAAGCTCAGAGAGTCCCAAAGAAGTTGGACCCAAGAAGGAACACACCAATAGCTGTCCCCTCTGCCACTTCCTGCTGCTGGGGCCTGTGTGATCCGTCTCACTGCCTGCTCCTTCGTTGGTTTATCTGCGTGTGAATGTGTGACCGCAGTCAGCCCTCAGTGGGTTTGCCCCCTGCTACTCCACACCTGGGATCCGCCTATGGCTGCCTGTGCTCCTGGGCTGCAAGCCGGGGTCAGTCTGGTGGATCCTCCCTGCTGGACCTTGCTCCGCTGCTGGCTCTGCCCCTCTTACCTGTGTGGCCGAAGGGTTTGTTGTTGTCAGACTTCTGTATAGTTCAATTTTCTGTGGTTTGGCTGCATTTTTGTTGCTAAAACTTTGTTGTTTTTAAACTTGGTTGTGTGAGAAGGTACAGTGTTTCCACCTATGCCTCCATCTTGGTGGAAGTCCTATTTGCAGAATTCTTTATCATTGTATGTCTTTCACTTCATTTTAAAGAAAATTGTGCTTCTTCCCAGGAACTATGGGGACCATTTTTAAAATGTATTTTGCACAATCTCTAGGAATAGTGCTTATTGTTGGGGAGATTTTTCCTCATAGCTGATTTGCCACAAATTTGCTTGAATGCCAGAATTACTAGCAACGTCACTTCTAGTTTTTGTTTGACTCTTATGACTACTTTACATATAAGTCTTTGTTTAGATTAAGAATGATTTCTTAATACTTGAAAACTAAACATTGGCTACATTAGAATTATTAAACAGGTGCAATAAATTATCCTTTGAGAAAAAGTTGGTATTAAAGTATAATTATAGCTTTTCTTTTAATCAGTTATACTCACATATTTATGACATATTATTTCAGAAAAACCAAAAACTCAGAGCCAGTCTGAATATATTTCAGCCTTACCAGTTGAATCTACTTCAAATCAGACCTTAATGCATTTGTAGTTTTGAAAAATTGTTATAAAATACACATAATGAAAGGGTTCTCAGAGAAAATTCCAACTTGTGTGTGGAAACTTCCCCACACCACCAGCCAATTCTCTGATGCCAAAAGGATGTCTACAATTGTAACTCAGTTCTGGCACCATCTATCCAGAGATAGAATCAGAGCCCACAAGTAAAGGGCTCCTTGCCACAAAACCACCCTTCTCTTTAGATACAAGTTGCAAGCCCAGGTTGTTCCGAACAACTACAAATCACAGGTTCCCAGGACCACCACCACCCTCGGGTTTGATTAATATGCTAGAATGAAATTCACAAAACTCAAGAAAGTTTACTCACTTATGTTATGGATTTGCTACTAAGGACATTAAAGGTTGGAAATGAATAGCCAGAAAAAGAGGTGCATAGGGCAGGGTCCCACATGAAGCAGTTTCTATCCTCCTGCAGCTGAGGTCCAGCACATGGTAGTGTTCTGTGGTTCCCCTTGGTGGAAGCTCTCCAAAAACGGCCTAAGAGCTGTCCTTTTGTGTTTTTATGGAGGCTTCATTACATAGTCATGAGTGACTAAGTCTTTGGCCACCGCTGATTGATTCAATCTCAAGCCCTCTCCCCTCCTTGGAAGTTAGGGTGGGACTGAAAGTTCCAAACCTCAGACCACATGGTTGGATCCCAGTGGCACCCAGCCCACATCCTTGGGTGGTATCCAAAAGTCACCTCAGTAACATAACAAGAGACACCATTGTTCCTCTCATCACTTAGGAAGTCCCTAGGAATTGGGGAGCTAAACTCTGGAGGCAGAGATTTGGTGAAAAAGGAGAGGGGTCATTTATTCAAAGGCTACCCAATTTTGAAAGAATGGTAGGTTCTGCCTCAAAGCCCATTTCCTCTAAAATGTCCAAAGAAAAATAACATCCCAACTTTTAACAGATTAGTTCAAAGCTGTACCTGAAATTCCTTCTCCCATTTAAAATAGTGTCCCTTGGTAAATGCAAGTGACTGTAGCACAACCATCCAGGTGGCTTAGCTGGTTCCTGGTTGCAGTCCAGCTTCAGGCGTCTTTTGTAGTCTGTGCACCCTGGTGACTTATTTGCTGTGTGCACTGTTCTTTCTTCTGCACCTACCCCCTGGCCCTGTGCTTGCGCCCCCTTTCTCCTGCCATTGGTTAGCCAGTATGGGAGTGCACTAGATGGAGCAAGATTGTGCAGTGTAGCACCAGTTGCCCAGGCTGCCACATGTTGGGAGGGGCCCAGAGACACCACCAGACTGTGGTTTCCAGGGCCCACTGGCTGAAAGGCTTGGGCCTCCTGGCTAGTCTGGCAGGTCTGTACCTTCCCTCGACCACCATGACAAACTCCACAGTACACATGCTGCTGTGACCTCTCCAGCTCATGCATACTCTGTGTAAGCCTCCTCCTGCTGTGTCTCAAGACTAGCTAGTTTGTTTACCCTTCCCCAGGGGTATGGAAATCTATCACACTCCCCCTGTAACTTCAGTCCTACCGCCTCTGGCACTTTCTGACCCTTCCCTTCTCCAGGGCCTGTGCAGGCTCCTGCATTGCCTTGAGGGTCCCTCCCTGCTCCCCCACCATCTTGCCAGATCTCCTGTAACAAAACTGCCATATAAACTGTTAGCATAAGTTCACTGATCAGTTATTGGATTTCAAGATTAAAATTTCTTGCCTTTCTTTAGCATTCTCATTTATGTCAATGATCTTCCCACAACCTTATAATTATCCAAGCCTTTCTTCTTAATATTTATGAGCATTTTCTCATTGTGCACATGCCTTTTAAACATAAATTTTCATGGTTATGTAATATATCATTACATTACCCACCTTAAGTGTTTTCTGAAAGAGTGAATGAATAACTGAGCAAATAAAATGTTTCCCCAGTATATGTTCTATAACTCATTTTACCATTTTTCTTTTGTTGTTTACAGTTTTCTCTTTGACAAATTATGGTACAGTGAATGCATCCTACATTTTAAGGTTTGGTTTTTTTTTAGGTTAGACTAATGGAAGTGAAATCAAATCAGTTGAAAGTACTTGATATTTTTTAAGGTGTCTGATATATGTTGATAATTTTTTAAACTCTTTTGAACAACCAGCATAATATGTCATTTTAGTTTAAATTGTTGCTAATTTTAATAGGTTTCACTGATTAATGTAATTGAATCTTCTGTAGTTTTACCTATATGTATGTATCTTTTATGAACCATCTTTTAAGTTTTAAAAAAGTTTTATATGTGCTAGAGCTTTAAGAGCTACATTCTTCTAAAGATTAATTACATATCAGTCTAGCATCCATTATCACAGTGCTTGATTATGTCTTGGTAATTGGTAATTCTTAGCTTTTTTCTTTTTACAATACTGAAATGGTTTTTATAAAC